AAGCATGTCTTCACTGAATGCACCACTGCCAGGATGTTTTGGCGTGAGGTTAAGTCCTTGACGAGCGTAAAATTACCTCGGATGCACCCCCACACTTGGGCTAGTGACATTCTGTGGGATGATGTTTGCTCTGATAAGGACTAGAGTGTTTTCACCATTGGGATGTACTGGCTGTGGACGCAAAGAAATAAACACCGTCATGGGAAAGAACAATTGGCAACTGCCACTGAGAAAGGCCGTGCAATGGGCGGTTGATGTTGCACATGATCTCTGGAAGACCACCAAAACCCCAAAGCAGAAGTTTGCGGGTGAAGTCAGAGGAAGGTGGAGGGCACCACAAGCAGGGTGGATCAAATGCAATACTGATGGCGCCTTCTATCCAAAGGCTTGAGCAGGTATGGTAGGGGGTTGTCCTTCGGATCGGCCGATAATTTTGAAGGTGGGAGGGCGAAGTGGTACCCCTACGACTTAGACTCTTTGTTGATGAGACTCTGGCTTGCAGAGATGGCGTGGCTCTAGCCGAGGAGATGGGTGTCCAAAGGGTGCAAGTTGAAACAGATAGCAAAAAACTGGTGAAGTTGTGGGAGGTGGCGAACATCTAAAGATCGCACATCTCTCCCGTCATTGGAGAAATCAGAGATCGTAGTGCTCATTTCTTGCTTTTTCTTTGGTTTATGCCAATAGATCATGTAATCGGGTTGCTCATGTACTGCCTAAGCAGGTCGCAAATGACGATAGTGTGGGTGAGTGGCAATCAACCCCGGCTTGTATTGCTCATCTGCTGACGGAAGATTGTATTAATTGAAGCTCTAAGTCGCAAAAAAAAAAGTGCCTAAGAGACGATCTCTTTTGGACCAGGATTGAACATTCGTGCCAAAGGAGCGTCCATCGGCCCAGAGCCTGTTCCAGGCCCAGGTAATTTGCAAATTTCTGGAGGACCTTAACCAAACTGCCCCAGGCTGCGTCACCACTCTCCCTCCCTTCTCTTCTCCCGTTCACCTCGCGTGCTGCGCTCTCTGACGACGATTGGGCGACAGCCGCCGCCGCCCTACACCAGCTGCCCAGGTATTCGTCGGGGCCTTCGCCGGTGACGAGCACCCACCAGGTATGCCCGCCCCTTCCCTTCCCTTCCCTACCTGCTGTGCGAAACGGAGCACCCAAACCCTAACTTCAGCTATTTGTATTCGGATCTGATCTAGCTACAAGTCCACATGTATTATGCCTACTAGCTTCCATTTTCGTTGCAAAAAACTATCGGATGTACATGTGTAGGCTCGTGTCCTTTACTGGGTCTGCCCCTGGCTGGATTCTGCAATTCAGTGCTGGAGCCCGTATACGTTTTTGATTGATCACTGGTCACAGAACCATCAGTTTGTAGGGGAGTAGAAACCTGGGAAGCACGAGTTTAATAAAATTATTTGGCATGAGTGCTAAATTTGCAGGGGTGTAATCGAGGTGCTTCCTGAATAGCTGGGTGATGATTTTCGAGCTGGCCATCATCTTTTTTTTTCATCTGTTCATGTATCCCTTAGACCTTGCAGCTTTATTTAGTGGCGAGTTGGATTCTGCATTGCAGACATGATGGATTGTAAATCTCAGATCAGATAATTTTGTAAATTGGACCTTCTATAGGGAAACCACATGGGCACCAAAACCAGCCAAACAATTCTTTTGTTGCGAGCCTGCACAGAATTGGTTCCTGTGGAGATGAAACTATAGGAAGAGAAGTCATGAACATAGAAGTTTATTGTCTTGTGTATCAAATATGCCAATCCTCTGTCCATCTATATTCCGATGTAGCCTGCCAGTTTCAGAATTTTCTTTGTTCTTCATGCTTATCCTAACATGTTATTGGGTTAGTACTACTTAGATAATTTCTGTGTAGATTGTAGACATTGTATGGTGATCCATAAACATGAGGGTCCTCGGAGCCAGTTGGGCCGTTAAAAAATAATAAAGTTTGCATACTATAGTTATTATTTGATTGGTTGATAGTCCTACACTTCAGCAAGTCATGAGTTCTAGTCCCTTTCTGCTTCAGCAAGTCATTCCAGAAGAAAATCCCCCCCACACACACACACACCCAAAAAAAAGTTTCTTTCACTCAGTATTTTCTTTGACTAAATTGTTTTTGTAAGTTCTTAGAACATCTGGTTTGGCTTCTATAAATCAGTCAGCTAGTATTCAGGTTGTAGTAAACCTGGAAATAATCGTGATCTAATATTTGTGTCCTTTTTGGCTTCCCAATTTTAAGTTTAAAGTTATGGTTGCATTTTTGAAAATGCTAATTTGGACCTAAAGGTTGCGCACACCCTTATCATCCTAAATCAGGTCTAATACTTTGTTTCTGTCTTCGTAGTTTGGTAGTACCTGTTAGTGTTTTAAATTAGAAATCAACTTTTGATCCAGCTTTGCATTTGTTAAGTAATCTGGCCATGTTTTACTGATAAAACTTGCTAAGACGATGTGCTTGTTTAACTTTCCTTTTTCTTTATTTGAAGTAAAAATGCGTTTTGTTGAATATGGTTTTTATAAATAACTTGTCTTTTTGGACTTCAGATTGGATAAACAATATCATGCCATTAGGTGGATAATAATATTTGACGTGCTCCTGGCTTGTTCAATTTTGGGCATCATCAAAATGTCAGGACCGTTGAATGTATGTCATCACCCTTACTAAATTAATATGGTTATGCATTTCATCTTTTTTCTATTCAGTAAACAATCATAGTCTAGTTTCTTAGATCAGTTGTATGTTATCACTTATGAGTGGCTCATATAGCCTCTCCTTTTGTAGACATGGTAAATTTTTTGTTTGTTTCATTAAGGATGAAAGGGAGCATCTCTTGGTGAAGGAGGATGAGATCCGACATCGATGGCAAGAGTATTTTGACAAATTGTTCAATGGTGAGAATACAGACACAACCTTTCAGTTGGATGACTCTTTTGATGACACCAATAGGCGTTTTGTGCGGAGAATCCAAGAATCCGAGGTCAGAGAGGCGTTGAAAAGGATGAAAGGAGGTAAGGTGATGGGACCGGATGGTATCCCAATCGAGGTATGGAGATGCCTCGGGGACATAGCTATAGTATGACTAACCAAGCTGTTCAACCATATTTTTCGATCGAACAAGATGCGTGACGAGTGGAGGAGAAGTATATTGGTACCGATCTACAAGAATAAAGGGGATATTCAAAGTTGTACTAATTACCGGGGAATTAAGTTGATGAGCCATACTATGAAGCTATGGGAGAGAGTTATCGAGCATCGCTTGAGAGCAATAACGCAGGTCTCTATGAACCAATTTGGTTTCATGCCCGGAAGGTCAACCATGGAAGCCATTTTCTTAATAAGACAAGTTATGGAGTGGTATAGGGAGAAGAAGGACCTACACATGGTTTTTATTGACTTGGAGAAGACCTATGATAAAATACCAAGGAATGTTATGTGGTGGGCTTTGGACAAACATAAAGTCCCAACGAAGTACGTCGGGCTCATTAAGGACATGTACAACAATGTTGTGACTAGTGTTTGAATAAGTGATGGAGACACGGATAACTTTTCGATTAGGATATGACTACATCAAGGGTCAGCTTTGAGCCTGCCTTAGTGATGGATGAGGTCACAAGGGACATACAAGGGGACATCCCTTGGTGTATGCTTTTCGCGGACGATGTAGTGCTAGTTGATGAAAGCCGGACATGAGTGAATCAGAAACTGGAGTTATGGCGAGAGACTTTGGAGTCCAAAGGTTTTAGACTCAGTAGAACTAAAACTAAGTATATGAGATGTGACTTCGGCACTACTACTTGGAAGGAGGAATATATTAGTTTGGAAGGTCAAGTAGTGTCTAGGAAGGATACCTTTCGATATTTAGGATCAATGCTACAGAGAGACGGGGATATTGATGAAGATGTTAGCCATAGAATCAAAGCAGGGTGGATGAAGTGGCGCCAAGCATCTGGTGCCCTATGTGAATAAAGGGTACCACAGAAGCTAAAAGGCAAGTTTTATAGGACAACGATTAGACCTGCTATGTTGTATGGTGCAGAATGTTGACCTACGAAAAGACGACATGTTCAACAGATAAGTGTCGCGGAAATGCGTATGTTGCGTTGGATTTGCGGTCATACAAGAAGGGATCGAGTTCGTAACGATGATATACGTGATAGATTAGGGGTGGCACCAATTGAAGAAAAGCTTGTCCAACACCGGTTGAGATGGTTTGGACATGTCCAACGGAGACCTCCAGAGGCACCGGTGCGTAGTGGAATCCTAAGCCAGGATAGTAACGTGAAGAGAGGCAGAGGAAGACCGAAGTCGACTTGGGTAGAGGCAATAAAAGGAGACTTGAAAGGATGGAATATACCCAAAGACTTAGCCTTAGATAGGAGTGCTTGGAAAACAGCTATTCACATGCCTGAACCTTGATTGATTCTGCTGGGTTTCAACTCTAGCCTACCCCAACTTGTTTGGGACTTAAAGGCTTTGTTGTTGTTGTTGTTGTATCTATTTAGTTCTCTGTCACATTAAAAATACATAAAAATGTTGCTGAACAGAAAGCAAACATGCCTTGTTTTCTCTTATTTCTATGATAGTTGATGCTCGATTGATTAATATAATAGCATTGTTGTTCAAGCTATTCTACCTTTTGCATCCTTGTAAGTACAAATGCATCTTAAAGTGTCAGTTATATATTTGACGGGGGAACTCATTTTCATCACTTTTGCAGTCAAACATTACTGGGGCCACCTCGAACCTTAGAGATTCAACAGGAAGGCCATTTACATCATCCTTTTCCAGTCAATCTGGATCACTTCCGGGTTTTCATCACTCAGGTTGGTGAAGATTACAGTATTTTGTTAGTCCATTGGTGCATGTTGCATTGACCTGCTTTTATTGTTAACTCTTCTGAGTTTGCTTGCAAGGCTCACACAACATTCATGGAAATCTTAATCTTGCAAATATCTCTGGATCATTAGCACCAAGAAATAATTCAATGGCGGGCATTCCGTCTCCAGGGGTTCAACAACCCGGTGGTGGTATTTCCAGTGGCCGGTTCCCTACAAATAATCTTCAAGCTTCCATGTCTCAGGTTTTTTTCCTTGGCATCCACAGCTTGTTCCTGTTCACACTGAGTGGGATCTTTGTTGCTTCGGTTCTCATTTCACTTGGCCCCTTTTTTAGATTCCTCATGGGCATTCTGGGATCAGCAACAGAGGAGGTATGAATGTTGGGGGGAATCCTGGATTTAGTAGTAGCATGAATGCTATTGGTGGTTCAATACAAGGTTTATCCTCAAACTTGGCTAATGTGGGTAACCGCAATTCTGCTCCTGGGTTGGCAGCTTCTCCAGTCTTAGGGAATTTAGGTCCACGAATAACAAATTCTGGGAATATTATGGGTGGGAGCAATATTGGGAGAAGTATAAGCTCTGGAGGACTTTCTATGCCTAGTATTGCATCTCGCATGAATTTAAGTGGCAACTCTGTAAGTGGGGCTATCAACATTCAAGGATCCAACCGTATGGGTAGTATACTTCAACAAGGTATGTAGATGACATTGCGGGTATGCAGGCTTGGTTGAACTTTCCATGCTTTATTGATGAATCTATTTGTATATTCTCATTATATCTTTCATGTTGGCTGGATAGAAATGATCTGGTTCTAATTATAATTGTCTAGTTCAAATTTGAAAGGTACACTTATGATAAGATTAGTAACAGGGATGTGGAAGGGGCGAAGGGCAACACTTTGCTCCTGAAGTTTCAAAGAGCAAACTTTTATTTTGGCCCACTTTGGCTCAAAACTAACAAGGGGAACCAGGCTGTTGTTATTAGAAATCAGTACCACTATGTACTGGGATTTAGTGTAATAATATATGTTTCACTTTGTTTATCCTTTGCCAGCATCCCCACAGTTTATGAACTTGCTTGGAAGTTCTTACCCAACACCTGGAGGGTCACTATCTCAGAATCAAGTACAGTCAGGAAGCAGTTCTTTAGGATCTTCTGGAATGCTATATGATGGAAGCTCAGGTGACAATGCTCCATTTGATATTAATGACTTCCCTCAGTTAACTGGACGGCCTAATTCGGCTGGAGGTGGTCAAGGACAATATGGTAATACTGCAATGCTAACAAATCTTCAAATGATTTTTAATTTAGAGTACTCTTTAGATTATATATAACTTCTGACTTCTGTAATTTGAAGGATCACTGAGAAAGCATGGAGTAAGTGTCAATGCCATTGTGCAACAAAATCAGGAATTCAGCATTCAGAACGAAGATTTTCCAGCTTTACCAGGAAATAAAGGTGTGTGCTCACCAATTACCATTGCTAGTCTCATTATGAGTGTAATAGAGAAACAGAAGCTCTTACCCTTGTTTGATTTGATATGAACGGCCACCTGTTCCCAGTTTTTTTTAGCTTTGTGCACTTGCATTTCATGTGTTGTTATTTATATTTTGGTTTGGAAAATTGCATTCAGCCATTCACAACATATGCTATAATTCAGCACTACATGATAATCTGTGATATCTTATTAATTCCTTTGATGTTTCCTTCTTGTTTAATCACACTTTGACGTCCTGATCCTCTACTCAAGTTTCCAACTAATGTTATGATAACTTCATTGATATGTTTTTTTTTTTTGTTTCTGCTGATTATGTTTTTGTCATACTTTTTTTTTTCTCTTCTGGAGTGTATTATCTAATTATGTGTTTCTTTGGAATATAAGGTAGTTCCTCAGATTATCCTATGGATATCCATCACAAGGACCACCTTCATGAGAATGTAAATATTATGCAAGCACAACATTATCCTGTGAGTTGATGGTTTTACCATTTGATTTCCTGAACACTTATATTTGCTTATTCTTAATTTCGGCACACATGATTCTATAGATGGCTAGACCATCTGGCTTTAACTTGGGAAGCAGCTATCCGCCCCCAACAACATCAGCAGAGTGCTAATTCAGTAAGTAATACTACTTTTGTTCACATCATCTCAAGATTGAACACATCACCTTTTTTTAAAACAGCTTGATTTGTTATTTTCTTTTTCCACCAGAGCAGCAGGCGAGATCCCTACTGAGATTTGATTTTTTTGGTGCCTGCTAAGCTTTCTGAATGTGGATTACTAACCATAGTAATCTTTTATTAGGTTCAAAATGCTGGGCTGGAAACTATTGGACTAAGACCATCAAATTCTCCAAGTCCGTCAACTAATTCGGGGGTTTATGAGCAATTCATGCAGAAGTACCATCAACCACAGACTCAAAATTCACTTAGGTTGCAGGCATCTTCAGGTCCTCAACAGTACAAGGATCAGAGCCAAAAATCCGTTCAGGGAACACAGGCTGCGCCAGATCCATATAGCTTACTTGGATTGTTGAGTTTAATAAGAATGAAAGAGCCTGGACCAACAGCTCTTGCTTTGGGGATTGATTTGACATCGTTGGGGTTGAATTTGAACTCCCAAGATAATCTTTACAAGACATTTGGCTCTCCGTGGTCAAATGAGCCAGCTATAGGAGAACCTGATTATCAGATCCCTGCTTGTTTCTCTGCAGAGCCACCACCAGCACTGCAAGTAAGCTTCTAAACATTTAGTTCTTGTTAGCCTCCTTGACATTACATATTCACATATTTTTCATCCTCTGCAGCCATTACATTTTCAAAAGTTTCACCCCTTGACACTATTCTACATCTTTTACAGGTACTTTAGAGTTCATTTAACTATTCATTTGATGTAACTAGGCTGTGCATCATCTAACTATGTTCTTTGTGCAGCATGCCTAAGGATGTCGCTCAGTTATATGCTGCTAATGAACTGTAAGCATAGAAACTGCACAGTTTATATTATCACTCTCTGTGTTCTTGATATATAGCTTGCAACCTACCATGTTGTTTAAGCAAATTGCTGCTCCATGTTTTCAGATACAATAAAGGGTGGTTTTACCACAAAGACTACCGTGTCTGGCTCACAAGAGCTCCTAATTCCGCACCTCTTGTGAAAACTCCGCTTCATGAACGAGGGTCCTACATCTGTTTTGATCCAAGCATCTGGGATACTGTCCATAAGGTTTCGTTATCTGAATCAAACCATACAGAATCCTTATCTATTAGCAGAGAAATGTGTATCTGAGCATTCTTTTGCTTGCAGGACAACTTTGTTCTCCATTACGAAGCAGTGGAGAAGAGACCTGTCCTTCCTTCTGCTGGCCAAAATATTAGGCGAGAATTATAAGGTAGCGTGCTTCTATCATGCATAAAATAAAGTATTATTAATTATGTGTATGACTTGCTTCTCTGATGCACACATATTTACCCTTGCTGCTTGCCCTAGGTTCTCCTGCATTTGAAGTTAGTTTGGTTTGATCAGTAGCTGTTGTCATAGATGGGACGAGTTCATACAAAATGATTCTGTAAGAACTTCTGACCCCAGGAAAATGACATGCACGCTGATCTGGAAAATGGAGCTCCTTTCCGGCAGCCCTGCCAGGTGGGAGTTGTAGACATGTAGCTGAGATTTAGGTTTGCTTCAGAATTCGTTGGCGTTAATTAGTAGGGCAATTGTACCTATGTTTTGACTTTTGAGTTTCTTTTTGCTGTTGTGACGCAGTCACCGTGATGAAAATAGAATCAGACTTTGGATTTGAGATGTGCGCGTTGCCTGTTTGACGATTAGAGTTTTGCTGAACATGTTGCGTAACTACAGAGCATATTAATGATTCTATCTGGTTAAACAATGAAGGCTCTGTAGATCTGTTTGGTTGCCTACATTATCCTGCCTCTAGGCTTGTGCGGTGCAATTTATTCGCACCTAGTTGCCCCTAGAGGCTGTCATATAAACCCGAACAATACAACGTTACAAATTTGGTTGTATTTCAATGTAGATTTGCAGTAGCCGATAGGGCATAGGAAAATGAGGAATATCCTCACCTCTATGCCAATGGTAGACAGAGAGAAGGCTGATCTGAACCCAATCGAGTGGGCCAGTGGTAGACAGAGAGAAGGCAACTTAATGATCTGAATTCAATCGAGCATCCACTGGTTCGTTATGAGTGGATGTCTCTGTGTCCATGAGATGAAATTAGTTACCGTCGAGGGGATTGAGGATTCCAGAGCAGTGAGGGAAGTCTATAATAAGGCCTTGTTCAGTTAGTCAGGATTGTGCCTAGAAATCATTTAAGTTCAACAATGATTATACAAATTACACAAGGAATCCGGCTAGGAATAATTCCAGTCTGGCTGTGCGATTTGCACCATGCCGGTTAGAGTTCGAACCCCCTCGAGAGCGGATTTGTAGCCGGAGAAGGCGCAGTTTATCTGCGCGTTTAAAAAAAAATCCCCTCGTCTGTCCCACGTCAAAGCACAGGTCTAAGGCTATCCTAATCTCACAAGACCTACGGTGCCGCGGTGTATGGGTGAGACAGAGGTTCGAGGGTTTTCTCGACCTACGTGAGAAAGTTTTCTTAAGCACAATGCCTGGAGGCTGTCTTATCCCACGGGTCGAGTTTTTTTTATTAATGGTGTTATATTAGAACACCGTAGATAATGTGACAATAATCGAATATTCATTGGGCCCTGCGGGTCACCCAACACCAAAAAACAGCTTTGTTCTGAAGGCCCACCAGATCATCACGCACGACAGAACAGCACCCTCCATGCCACCAGCACCCTCCATGCCACCAAAACGAGAGCGGTCAGGGGTGAAGCTACGTGTATTTAGAGGGTTCAAATACACACACCTCCGATATATAAACAGTGACTTAAACAAAATTTCAGGAGCAGCACGCGAACCATGGTACATTAACATTTCTGGAGCATCCTGAAACTTACTTGAGCAAGTGCCAAAGCGACAACCAATCAATGCACATATACATCGACCAGCCTTCGTCGTCCTCTGCATCGCAGAACAAAAGGGACAACTTTGTATCGCCTTCTCCCACCTACGCGCACATTCACGACGTGAAGCTGTCCTTCACGTTCAGAATCTCAGCGTCATAAGCCGCGATGGCATCCAACACCTTGAGGTGGCAGATCACCTGCGCCCCCGCCGCCGCTTGCTCTCTCACCTCCTCCATCTCCTTGTGCAGCGTGCTCGAGCTGAATTCTGCGGGCGCATCGACGTCGTAGATGAAGTACGGCTTCACCGAAGAGTCATCAGGGTTTTTTAGTTGCAAGTGAAGGTCGCGTCTCTCCAGCACCCGCCCTTCGGCTGTGGCTATGAGGTCTCGCATGCGGTCTCTGTTGTCAGGGTTCATGTAGTCACTCAGGCAGAAACACAGTCCCGAAAACAGATTTGGTGCCTGCAACCATGAAACGAAGAATCGAGATGCAGCGATTAGCTTAGGTCCATGAATGGACTCCTGTGTTGAATGACCGCCAGTGCCACATAACATACCGCTTCAGCTGCTCGCATTCTTCCCTTCTTCGGTCCGTCGATTGTTCTGTCTGAACCCATGCTGAATGCTACCTCGTAAGCAGCTTCTGGAACTGGAAGTGTCGTCCCCAAGCAGCCCGCAACCCCTGAAAGAGCAAGGTCAAAAGCATCAGCACCGGATAAAACTCCTAACTCCTCTGCTGATTTTCGATGCCTCCAATTCATGACTCCGAGGGTGATAAGGTTCAGCAGCTTCAAATAAGTAAAACGTAGACTCAAAACATACAAAAGAAAAGCTCACATATGGAACTGCAGCAGAGAGATAGCATACTAACATTCAAAATGGACAACCCATCTCCCAAGCAGTATGGCCATGAGGACTTCAAAGGATCTGCTGCATGAGCTGCCAGCACCTTTCGCCACAATGACATGGGTCACATCTTTTGACCACTCTTCCATCAGCGTCGCGTTGGTCGAATACGCAAAGTTTTGCAAGAAATCCTGTCCAACAAGTGTGAAGCAAATTGGTCATGAGCTCGAATGGAACAGAAATCATTAGTAATGCATGCAGCAAACAATTTCTTGCACCACATTTATCCATAAAGATGGATTCAAATGGAACATATGAAACATGTTATCCATCCATGAAACGCCTTTTAAAACTGGCTTATTTTGCTACTTTATTCTATGTTACCTTCTCCGACACACTTAATGACAAGCCAGACAAAACCAACTGATCAGAAGGGCAGTTCGATGTGTCAGGCTGATCTGCAGTTGTTTCCTCCCGTTGGAAAGCAATAGAAATTCCTTCGGCTGGATGACAGCTGGAATGATGGGACACAAGAGAAAATAATTATAATTAAATAATCAATGACTGCTCAATGACCAACAACCTTTATGTAATCTCCCAAGAAGGGCCAAGACCTAAAAAGATCATGTACCTCTGAGGCGAGGATAAATTAGAGGTGTTACACTCATGTGTTCGTTGATTATCCCTTTCACGATTCTTAGAAGTTGCTTTGTCGTATGAATGTTGGCTAGAGTCAAGAAACACAATAAAGAATTACCAAAATCAAAGACTATTGAATAGTGAAGCTAAGTAACCAGGAAACTTTGTCTTAAGAAGGGAGAAGAAACATGACATACCCTAGTGGCAAGGAAGAAGAACTTGAGGTGTCAAGCTGAACTATTTGTCCATCCCTTGAGTTATTGGTGGAAATTCCTTCTTTTTGAGAATGTTGGCTAAGAAAAACATGAAAAAGACAACACAGAGATTATATATTTATCAGATGAACTCCAAAATCTACATTACATATCACATAGCAAACATGACGAAATCACATACCTCCGAGGCAAATAGAAAGGATTTGAAATGTTAAGCTGATCAGTTTGTTGATTTTTCCTTTGATGATTGCCAAAATTTTCTTCCTTTTTTGTATACAGGCTGAACAACCAATTATGGAAATGGAAATGGGTGATAGATAAAATTATTATGAACCTTTACAGTATACCCAAAGGAAAGATGAATAAATATCATGTACCTGCCAGGCAAGCAAGAACTCATGGAGTTAAGCTGATCCATTTGTTTGCCACCCCTTGAGCTATTGGGAGAAATTCCTTCTTTGTGAGAAGGTTGGCTTGGGGGGGAAATACAGCACAGAGATTATATATTAATCACAAGGTCTCTAATATCTATATTTGCATGACATTACAATTCACATACCTCTGTGGGAACGAGGAAGTATTTGAAGTGTTAAGCTGATCAGTTTGTTGAGTTTCCCTATGACGAACATAAAGATTTCCTTCCTTATCTGCACATTTGCTGAAACCACGAAATTGTAGAAATGAAATATGGATGTTTCTTACAAAAATTGAATGAACCTTTATATTATCTATGGAGGTGAAGAAATGCATTTACCCTACAGGCGAGAAAGAACTTGTGGTGTTATGCAAATGAGATTGCTGACCTTCCTCTTCGAAATTGGTGAAAGGTTCTTCTTTGCATGAACAATGGCTAGAAAGAAAAATACAATACAGATTACATGAATTGCAACATCTACATATCTCCCAAGAAGAGCAAAGAATGATTACAATACCTTTGACGCAGGGAAGAACTGTAATTCTCCTTTCTATGTGTCCGCAGCTTATCACATGGTAGAGTCTTTGAAACATGTTCAGGGCACAACACATGGCCTTTAGCCTACCACGTAAAATTAAGCATGTCAGAATATGACGTTGGTCGTAAGTAGTAAAGAAACCTTTGGATCAAAGGAAAAGTGCTTACAACATCCCAGCGGCAATCAATTATCTGAACTGCACATGGAACGTGATAACTCTTCCTGCAGTGCTTCTCATAACAACCAAGGGCTGCTCCCAGGAGTCCACATCTTCTGCATCTCAGTCCTGAAGCACGTCTAATTTCTGACTCCAAGTTCATAACAACGTCACCATCAAACCATACTTTAGGAGCCCTTCATAAAAAATCAGTAGGAACAGAATATGAAAGGCTGTATCACCATAGCCAAGCAGTCCTTTAGATTAAAATTGAACTGAACAGATTTTTTTCTAAAAAAAGGGAACATGGTTGCGTCTTAAATCTGCAGTGAAAATGGCATGATGATATATCTAAATCATGTAGATTAATATAAAGAGTTGCACAGTCTACACAAAAGACGAACTCTACCACTCGATGCATTCCTTATGGACATAGATGGCATTTGATGAGTTGCCCTCGTCAATGGACAAAACTCTTCCGTTTAGATAACGTACCATTGGACCATGAAACGACTGGAACAGAGGGGAGACAGTACCAGTTAGATGCCTTCAACACATCAGCTCTGAAAGGTAGCTGTAAAATGATTTAACTTGTATTACCTCGGTCGTTCTAAACGAATGACAAAAAACACATTCGTCTTCAAACAAATTGATTGGAGTTGGCAATCTCTTCAACTCAGTAGCACATCCAACGTCTTGGGACAAGACACGTTTTCTTGACACGTTGCTTTCTCTTCGTGAGCGCTTATTAGGTCCTCCGGCTCCTATTTTGCTTTGCTTACTGTCAAGGGATGGTAATCCCCCTGCATCTGCCACAGCTTTTAAGATTTGACCTTTCAACGGTGATGCATCTGTGTTCTATAATAGAAATTAATCCACAGAAAGTTGAACATAAATCTGGTTGCATCAAACTTTGAAACAAAGGTGAACAAAAACGACTGAAAGAACCTGTTTGAATCCGGGTTGAGTTGGAGAGTTGATTTTTCTTTTACCACGCATTATGTCCACATAAGTAGCAGACCTTGCATCTATGGGTTGTAAAGCTGTGACCAACATCAAGGTCAAAATTTAAAATGGTGGACTAGATAGATATGTTTAAAAATCATGAGACTGTTAACTAACATCAGACATGCGGCATTCTTGATGAATCAGAAGTCATGGACATGTGAAAGAAAAACAAACTAAACTAATATACATACTCCTTCCTTCCCAAAATAAGTCTCCATCTCGCATTTAAAGGAGTCAAACAATCTCAACTTTGACCAAATATAAATACTAATATTTGTGATACGAGATAAACATCGTTAGATTAATCATGTCATATATTTTCATAGGAAACCTTTTTGGAGATACGATGGGATGCTATTTTTTTATAAATCTAGTCAAAGTTGAGATTGATTGACTCCTCAAAATGCAACTTATCTTGGGACGGAGGGTGTACCCTATAACCAATTACAGTTCAGAGATTAAGAGATTATTATGGCTCGTGGTGATAAACTGATAAACCTTGATTAAAATGTGTCTTGTACTTGTACTACTGATGGAGACATTATTTTTCACTCTACCTGGGCAAGAGACTAGTACTTCCGACAAAAATCTGAACAGCTACTCATCAGGTCATCAAGGGCGTCGATGATAAAAGAAGGGTCCATGACCAAATTGTTGCCCCCAAATTTGGCAAAGAGAAAGGAAAAGGCACTTTGGACGCCGGTCGAGATTGGAAATGATAAGACGTAGACAGGTACCCAAAACCGCTAAAACTAGCAAGAACCCTGACCCTGTTCACAAAATAGGTACTGTAGTCGTGACCTAGCCGGACCGCGACCGACGCCTCCCGTCCCCGTCCCAGTCGCTGCCATGATCCGGCATGCCGACACCATTTACTGCGCGAGGAGACGGAGACGCCACGAGGACGATACGGAGAAAGAGAAACGGCTACTCGGCGCAGGCAGCAAAACGTGAGAGAGGGAGGAGCGGAAGCGGCGGCGGCTGTGGCGAGCGGGGTGGTGCACTTTTGGCTCACCTGGACGGCGGGCCGATCGCCGTCGCGCACCCGCAAGATGATAGCCGTCGGACCGTTGCCCCTCTCTCGTCAGTGCTCAGTCCTCACTCACCTCTTGCGCGGCTGACCGCAAGCACGTTTCAAACCTTGCCGGCTTCGCCGCTCCGGTTCGTATTCGTTTCGTTTCCTCAGCTCGAGGTGAGGTGACAGGGGCAGGCGTGCAGCGTTGGCAATAAATGTCAGGGGGCACGGAGAAAGCCAGCGGAGACCGAGAGTAGTGGCAGAGCTGGTTTGCGATTGGCGAATGGGCGCGATATGATGGCGGTGCACGGCTGCACGCGTGGCGAGCTGGATGGCTGGAGTACCGGAGCCGTAGCCCGTAGACCCACACAGTCCACAGATGAACGGACTAACAGCGGTGTTCGGATCCGGTGACTAAAATTAAGGAGATGTATTGAGAGGATATTACATAGGATGTTCGGATACTAATAAAAAAAGCAAATTTTATAATCCGTCAGTACTTCACGAGATGAATTTTTAAGTCTAATTAATCCATCAATAGCATATGGTTACTGTAGCACCACATTGTCAAATCATGAGCTAATTAGGTTTAAAAGATTCGTCTTGCAAATTAGTCACAAACTATTCAATTAGTTTCGTAATTAGTCTATATTTAATACTCCATGCATATGTCTAAACATTCGATGGGACAACGACTAGCACCACCTAAATCTAGTTTAGTTTTTTATGTACCAAAAAAACATGGGACAAAGGCAAAACGGAAGAGCAGATTTTGGGATGTTTTTGCAAGATTATTATTATTTTATATATTTTCGGTAATGCTAGGCAGAGGACGTCTGTCCACCTGAAAGGTGCCCATTGTGGGTCGCGATGCAGCCCAACAACCACATCTTATCTGTTAATCCAACTATTCTTATCTTCTAAACAACAAGAAGAAAAAACTCACCTCACTGCGGCGCCGCTACAGCTATCTGCAGCGGCGCTCTCCATCGCGCCTCCCTCTCCATCCACCTCCGCTCTGTCAGCTGGTATCTCCTCCGCGGCCGAGCACGACAGCCCGTCTTCCTCCCTCTCCACCGCGCCTCCCACCCGCGGCGGGCTTCTCCAGCGCACGGACCCACCGCAACCTTCTCCACGGGACCTGTCGTGGCCTTCTCCACCGGAGTAGCGAGCTCCACGCCACCGACGAGCTCTACACCGGTGAACTCCACGCATCGACGAGCCTCCATTCCAAAACAGCAAGGAGATGTGCTTTGCAAGTGTTTCATATGAATGTTGCAAAAGTAGATCGGGATGTTGCATATACTGTAAGTGTTTCATAGGCATGTTGCAAGCGTTTGCTCAAAGTGTTTCATCTGTTTCAGACGTATGTTGCAAACGTTTTGATATGAATGTTGCATATGTTTCACACATATATTGCAAGAGTATGTTCCAAATGTTTTAGCTATTTCAATTTTATGTTGCAGTAAGTATTTTTCTGTTACAAGTGTTTTATCTGGATGTTGCAAATATCTCATATGTTTCTGACTTATGTTATATTTCAAGTGTTTCATGTTGCAAGTGTTTCATTTTCAGAGCCTCAGAGGTATGTTCAGATTGGCATGGTGGCACGGTACGGATGCTGAGGGAAGGGGTGTGGCGAGCCGGAGGCCGGTAGATGGGGCGCACGGCGCACCTAGGATCCTGCGGATGGGGCGTGCTCGTCTCACCTAGGCTCCCAGATCCCACCCGCGCGGAGACAGGAGGGGTTCAGGGGAAGGGGTGGCGGGCGTAGCAAGGGTGCGCGTGTGGGGCGGGACGAGGTGGACGGGAGCGGGGCAAGGCAGACGGGGGACGGATGTGCACGTGTAGCAGCGATACGGTACAGCGACAGGTGCGGACGGACGGGCTGGAACAGCAGCATGCGCGGGATGTTCGGACGCGTGATATACTCCGGACGTCCGGCGCTAATAAGTCCCTTATAAGTTATGCATGTTTTCAATATGCATGTCAACGTATTGACATCGACAGAAATTGGGTGACTTTGCTTCGGCAAGTCACCACGTAACTTTACCATCTGTGTCTGCTGTCAAATGACATCGAAAGGTTACCGGTGTTTTTACACTTGGGATCTAGTATTTTCACCCATAAAGACAGGCGGGAGCCCCTTGTTTGGTGGTGCAAGTCCGCATGCCTGCTCCAGGTGTTCGGTTCAGAGGATTGCATTCCGATTTGTTTAGCTGCCTCACAGCCTAGAATTTTGATTGCTAATATTTGTTCTTACCAAAACTTAAAACCATAAAAGACAGAAAAAAATATACATTGATCCTTTCAATTCCTTTGGTTTTATCAACCATGCTGATCGAGCACACCATATGGCAATGCGCTTGGCTGGTTGCTATGAACGAACACACTCGTCACTCACTCACTCGTGTTGAAGCTGCATGCGTCTTCTCACCCGACGCGCTCGTCACTCCTGTCGAAGCTGCATACGCTGGTCTAGAAATCTAGAATCCAGTGGCGATCCCACGGACCCATAACTTTTTTTTGGAAAAGAATATTTCTGCACTTTTCTTTTTTAAAGTTATAAAGTTATACTTAATTTTATGTATAACTTTTTGTAGATAACTTATCAAAATATATCTATATCTATATCTATACATATACATATACCTTATTAATATTAAAGAGGTAAAATTCCTCTCCACCCATTTATTTGGTATACTTTATTAATATGCGTTGCGATCCCAGGGATGCGCAAAAATCTATACATATCTATACATATACCTATACCTTATTAATATAGAAATCTAGAATCCAGTGGCGATCCCAGGGATGCGTAGATCGGGAGGACCTCGCCGACCCCCAAGGTGTTCATGGTTGGCGGCATAGGAGCAAAGCGTTGGCCCCTCCCTGCGCCGCCTCCATGCCGGCATGAGCACCATCGTCGCTCGAGCACGGGAAGTCGTGCAACCTCTAGGGCACGGGTGAGCGTGTGGACTCCTCTCCTATGGCCGCGCGCGCCTACTAGCTCACCTCCTCCTCCACGAGCGCGTCCACAGACACAGCTAGGGGCAGTCTCTGTTCGGGTGAGGGCAATATAATTAGTTTTCCAGTTTCTAGGGAAGGATATAATTAAATTGCTTTTCTATTTGCCATATTCCGTAAACACTCTTCCTGTGTTTCAGGTGCTTGAAAACCGCTGAGATTTTTCAGGCTACAGTTTAAATTACGGATTCGGAGATGGGGTTGCTTGGGGACGAGAGCACTTTTATAACTATCGTTTCTTGCAACCATCAAGAAGACACTTGCGAGATTAACTAACACAGGCACTTCTTTATTGATGTTCAGTCCATAGGTAATTTTGTTACTGTTTAGCTCTAGAAAAAAAAATATAAATTGTGTTTTGTGATTTGTTCAGTCCACAGATGGAGAGGAAGCTCGGCGCCTGGTACGTGCCAACGACAAGGATTTGCTAGAGTCTGTGTTGGATTTAAATTGGGCCAGGTCCCAATATTATTTAATTGAATCAAATAATTCTAAGGCCTGTATTAAATATTATGCGTAATACTATTAGTCCCATACGGGATATTGACTGGACGTTGACTCAACTTATATGTGCGGACCGTGTCTAGCTACATTGAGAAAGTCGAGAAAAGACGTGGCATGGCACGCCATGACCGAGCCCGAGCCTGACGCGGAAATGGTGCATGCATAAATTGGTTTTGCCACTCAAACCAATTATGAGCAGGAGTTACACCGGAGTTACTTCTCGTAGTGACGAGAGTTTCTGCCCCTAATGAGGAAAGTTGAGGTAATGACGAGAGTTTCTAGAGTTTCTGCTCCTAATGTGAAAAATTATGAGGAAGGTTCCCCCTAATGAGGAAAGTTATGAGGTAATGACGGAAGTTTCTGGAGTTTCTGCTCCTAATGTGTAAAATTATGAGGAATGTTACGGGAGTTTTCTCTCGTAACGTCAGACTCTTTCTTTCGTAACGTAACATCGGACTCTTCTCTCATAACGTCAGACTCCTCCGCTCCCGACGTTGCCTCCCCTGGTGACCCCTCCACTCCTCGGCTGGCTATGAAATAAAAGGAAGACCCGCTTCAACATTCAATCTCACCAAGTCTCTCACGGGCATAAATCTCCACACTTCCGCTGCATCCAAGGCTTCCCTGTCCCGATTCCTGCGAGCACGGGAATAGGGAGAGCAGGCCTCCGAAACCGAGTCGTCTATAATTTCATTTGCTCGGGTGAAGGGCGGCCATAAGGTTTTTGGGAAGCGATCACGCGACTGCTCGATTGATCCACGACCTATGACTTCATCTTCTTCCCTGTGTTCATGACGGCGGCGGGAGTGCGGCACTACAACCTCTCTACACTGCATCGAGCGGGACGACTACACCAACAAACGCTATCTCGACTAGCATAACCGGCTCTGGTGCCGCTAGATATGTTCTAATTCATCCTCTATCTTTAGCGATTAAAATAATGATTATTAGTATCATCTACATGTCCTTGTCACTTAGATCACACGTGCACGTATATGAGTCCACAAACTTGTTCTTAATCTTTTTTTTTCTAAATTAATTAAATTAATACTGAAATTGCCTAAATTTTTAACAATCCAAAAACCTAAAAGACATTTTTTGGTAGTCGGCTTTGCGGGTATGCTGAAACCAAATGTTTTTGAGAGCACACATTACAAGAAGTGGCGTCAGATATGCATATTATGGTTGACTGCTATGCATTGCTATTTTGTTGCTGAACCTAGATCAGTTGGACCGCATACTCCTAAGGAGTGTGCGTTCCAAGACGCTGATACTACGTTTAAGGGGGAAATAATCAGTATGCTA